CTCTCTTTCTACTATTCTAACACTTTTTATTAAATTATTTATCAATACATTATTTTAACCATATATATACAAATAGGAAAACATGACTGCCTGTAAGGTATTATGAATCATCTAGTTGGACTAACTATAGTATTTCTTACAGAGTTGGTGTAAAATTACCTACTGTTGAGGTGAGATACAAAAACCTGTCTGTGGAAGCAGAATGCAAGGTGGTGCAAGGGAAGCCACTCCCAACGCTCTGGAACTGTATTGCAAGCATGCTATCTGTAAGTAACCCTCCCCCCAAAAATAAAAATAAAAAATCCAATATTAGCAGTCAAAGCATGGCATGGGTCCTGAAGAAGCACCGAAGCATGTGAATCTTATCAGAACTAACCCACAAATCTTCTCCAATATGCTTATTGAAGATAACCCTTCAACAGGTTTTCACAAAGGTTATCCAGTGCAAGTCTCAAAAAGCCAAGATAAGCATTGTGAAGGATGTCAGTGGCATTATCAAACCGTCAAGGTAATACGAATACATGGCTGCTTATATATAGGTAGCATTAGACAGTACATGGAAGAATACTGTGGAAAAATGATTTCACAACTCCAGACAGAGGAATGAATCCCATCTTATGTCAGCATCAATTTAGGCTCAGTAGCAAAGAATATCATAACACATAGTGATGGCCTGACAAAATACCAATATTACAATTTTTGGAAACAGTCATTAGATTGATGAACTAGCAAATTCCTTCATTAATAGCTAGTTTTGGCATAGCTTTGGTAACCTTTAGTTTGTATAACACAGTGAAACTATCCCTTCCCTTCCCTGCGTCTGTGTGTGTGTGTGAAAAAATGACACAAAAACAAAAACAAAAACAAGAAGAAAAAATGACAGTTCTTTAATATACTTAAAATTTTTGTGTAGCAGGGGAAGACAGAAAAGTTAGGCTGTCTTATGGATCCAATTCAGCCAAGTTGTGTAATATTAACAAGATGATGAGCATAAAATTGTTGAAAAAAATAGTATCAAAAGGAGAAGATTTCATATTTATGTGAGAAGAGAGAGTCCATCATTCATGTTCATGGACGATTTTGTTGGATGCAGGCTCACTCTTCTTCTTGGGCCTGCAGGCTGTGGGAAAACCACCTTATTATTGGCTCTAGCAGGAAAACTAAACCAGTCTGTCAAGGTTAGTTTTCCCAGCATATCACATCACAGGGTGGACAAACTTATAGCCTTTTTTTATTTTCCAATGAGCGTCCCACTGGCCTACTAAAAAATGAAAGAGTTCTCTTAATTGCTCAAGTTGGTGCATCTTTTTCTGTAGGTTACTTAACCTTTGAATTTGCTTTGCAATAATCCAAATTTGGGATGGTGAACAAACCAAACCAGTGTGTGTTTTCTCAACACTTGGCCTAACCACATCTCATCAAACTCACTTTGCTCTTTGCAAATCAGTTGATTCTTTCAACATCTCTATTGTATATAAATATCCACTCAAGAAGTGTGTTCTCTTCAACCTACCTAGAACAAACAGACACACTTTTTGCTTACAAACAATATCATCTTCCATATTCGAAGTACCAAAACAATGGCTTCTTATCATTTTAGTTTGGTTCTATCTCTGGTTGTAGTGCTAACATTTTCCAGCACCCAGATCAGCCTCGCAGCACGCAACCTACTTCAAACAGTGCCTGCAATTCCATCTCTGCCAAAGGTCACATTGCCTCCATTGCCAGCAATGCCAACAATGCCAACCTTACCAATGCCCACATTGCCTCCATTGCCAAGAACCCAAATTCCATCAACTTTGCCCAATCCAACATTGCCAACCATGGCCACTGTTCCTCAGCTGACTCTGCCTCTCCTGCCGGCAACTTCATTGCCCACCATCCCAACTACAATTCCTTCAATCCCAACCATCCCTACAACAATGCCATCAATTTCTTTCTTCTCTCCACCTCCATCAAACTAGATCCCCCAAAGTACTACCATTTTATTCACCTTTTTGCTTCCACACAGGGTAAATAATAAATTTCCTATGGAATTTAGGCAGTTTGAGAGCATCCTTATACGTTTGTTGTCTTGATGAGTGTGATCTTCTGTTATGGATTCCTTTCGCATTATTTTTTATTGTATGTACCATATATAAGTTATTGTGAATATGAATATGAGTACTTGTTTCCTTCTTTACTGACGAACTGTTGTCTTTAGTACTTCAGTTTCAATTATTAAATTTCCTTTTTGTCTTAAAAAGCATTGACAGAAATGTAATAGCAAAAGTAGAAATGGAGAAAAGGTGAAGGTAAAAGATAATAAACATACAAAGCACGCAAGAGGATTTACTTGTTCACGGATGAAGAATAGTGAAAGAGTTTCACTATTTACAATGAGCCGACACTATCAGCACAACCCTTTGTTACAAAATCTCTTTAAAAGAACACCAAATCATAGAATCCCAAAATAACTCAATAAATACAAAGATCCTAAGAGTAGCAAATCAGCTCAAAACAGGCCTAATACAAATGCTGGTTTGGACCTAGTATCTGGGGTCTGAGGAGATTAATCAAGTTGTATGGGTCACCAATGGGTAATGATCATAATTTGGGTTGAATTCAAAACACACCCACAACAAGAAATTTATAAATAAAAAAAAATAAACAAATTTAAAAAAGAAAAAGAGAGGAGAAGAAATGGAAGAATAAAATACCCTTCGATATTGAACATGTCAGGCTTGGTCCCAAAACAACTTGGATGAAGTAATTAGATTTTTCTAATAATTTTTTCCCCAAATTCTGCAGAATGAATTTCACATTTCTCTCGAGCAGACTGTTTCAATTCCTATACTACTACAGTACACTTGGAACAGGTGGCTTGCGAAGAAGCACTCTGCTCCATCAGTTGCTCAAAAGAAATCCAAATTCTGTCAAATTATTCTTGTAGCCTAGTATTAGAATAAGGATTTTTGGAAATTTAGGATTAGATTTAGGATTGGACTTGAGAAACCAGTAGGAGTAAATATAGTGGTTGGTCTCAAAAGGCAGCTCAAGACCTCAGGCAGTTGTAATCAAGTTCAGTTTTAGTTATTAGTTATTTTTTCTCTCTTCTCCTTGCTTTGTATAATTTTAATGATTGGTGAACTGCGAAGTCCTCATCCTTGAGGCGAAGGACCTTCAACACTTCTGCAGGTTAATTATTTGACTAAATTTGTCAATTTTTCCCTTCATGGCATGCCTATCTTTAGAAAAATAAAAGCAATATAAGCCAAACAGTGTTAAACCATATCATGGGTGGAATCAACCACCGATTGATGTTGACCACATAATCTAGTTTAGGCAAAATAGTCTGAAATTATATTTGAAATTAGGCAAGGAATAGATTTCAAATTTGCCTTATTGTGCGCCACACAGTTTTATATCGATTCAGGGGGGAATTTCTACCTAATTTAGGGCCTTTTCAAAATCTTGGGGTCGTGGAGGCTCCTTATTAACTAACAACCGATTTTTTTGGACTAATTAAACTTTTTTTTTTCCTTCTTTTTTGAGGTTTTCACAATGGAGGCTCTCTGCTTTTGTTTCTGACATTGACACTGACTTTCTATATCAAAGAAATCATATATGTCACGCCCCAAATCCGGGCATGACCGTCTATGGTCCACAAGGACTCAGCGCAAGGCACACGTAAGCCTAAACACAAATCCATAAACATGTTGAATAACTATACAATAGTCCAATAATAAATAACCAAACTCAATCCAGTGACATACCACAAGTATAAACGGCAAAACCAACCGTAAATAATACCATCCAAACATATGAGATATAAACAGCCCACATATTAAAATAATCCTAAATAAACCTCAATAAAAATAAAAATAAATACGCACAACCTTGACATAACAATCTAAAACAAAATAAATGAATATCCTAGAGGTCCATGCAATTGAGTCCCCACTATGCCATGAGTCCACTCTAAGTCCTTCTAACACCTGGAAATGATAAAACAACTAAGTCAGCTGATAGCTCAGTGCGTAGCGACATGGATAGTAAATACAATTTTGAAAACAGAGTTCAATTCCAAAATAAGATATATATCACAGAAACTAGATTGGCATACAGTTGGTAAAGACAATCTGTTTCAAAAAGAAGGTTCCACAGTTCAATAGTTAAAATATTCATGTGTCTCGAGAACATGATAAATGACATTTTCCACTTAAAACAGATTACAACATGAACACTAATAATTTTCTGGGTACCAAGAAATAACAAATAATATGTGTGTGGGTAAAAATCTGACCACACTGCCCGTTTAGTGATCAGCGGCAGAGCACCGGCAGAATAGATGGCTTTAGCAACCTGTAACAGAAAGAAAAAAGCTCCGGCGGTGGTTCTTCCACCCGGGGGTACTCTGATGATCAAGTCAGTATGTTTCTCAAGGATAATCAAGTACTGAACTGAATACTCAAAGTATGAATTGCATATCTTAGACCCACGGGGGTGCCTTTCTTTTATAATATACTTAATCCAAGTCCAACTAGAAGTATGACTTTTATGAACTCCAATCTTAGTGCTCACTTTGGACTCTTTAAGAGATAGAGATAAACTCCCTAAGAGCTTTATCCTTATCTTAACCAAGTCCCCTCTTTTCCTTAGGACTCTTGACCCTTATCTTCGGACTCCGATATCTTCGGAGATGACCTCGGCTTCTCCGAGATTACCTCGGCTTAACTACCAGGGCACGTGGCACCTCGGCTGACACGTCGGCGTCACCATGCCACGTGTTGGTATTCAGAAAATATGTCCCCACAATATGCCACACAGTTCGTAAGGCTATAAGCCCCATTGGATCCAATACCGAACTAAGAGCCATTCTCAGGGTGGCAACCTGGGCCTTTTCTCTAAGACAATCTGATTGAAGGTCACCTAACTTAACGTAGGTCTTTTCCTTACAATCGTTGAGCACTAGAGTCATCACGGCCCAACCCGGATCTGTTCCCTAGTGGCCAGAGTCACCACACACAGTGGAATAATTTTCCTGGACTAAATACACAAATGGTCCCAATAATCAAGACACATCAGTTTCACAAAACATGATAATTCACCATTATAAACATGAGACCAAACAAATAGTTTACAATATGCCAAGTTCACACATGTTTCAGAAATAATTTGATTCCATTGATAATATAATAATTTATCAAAACAGTTTAGTCATGAAACAACAATTTAATTTTCCAACAGTTCAGGGTAGGGGAACATTTATAAAAATATGTAGCATGAAACTACTCACCTGGAAACGAAATAATATAATCCTCGAATAGAGTATAAAAGTCCAACTAGTGCCCTGAACCAAGTATAAAAACTACTCGTCACTACTAATTTAAAAATACTAAAGAATAGGAACTAAGTAACCTCAACTAAAGCGTACTAACACGGCTCAACCCAACTCACCGTTACTCTTAAATATTACCTAAATTCATGCTCTTCAAGGTCTAAAATCACCCAAGACATGGGTTCTGGTCGAAACTTAATTAAATGTGACTTTGAGATAAAATAGAATTTTTGATAGGTTTTCCCGAACTGTTCACTAACTCTGAAAATTAGAAAAACCCACTCTACACCATTCGAAAAATTTCAAAACCCTCCAGATATCAACTTATATATCCTAAGTTTCAAACCCAATTGGTTTTACTTGATTTGCTTATCAAAATAATTATTTACAATTAGCTATGCCCAAACAGGTTGTTTTCTGCAGCACTTTAAATAAATTAATGGTTCTCTTAGTATACAGGAGCAATCAATGCAAGGCCAAAAATGTAAAAAACTACACTCGAAACCGGTTCTAATAACACTGATTTGATCATTTTTGAATTTATACTCAAAGAGAACAACACTTCCGAATTTACTGTTTAAACCAGTTTTCTGGACAGATTTGAACGCATCAGTTTATAGGGATTTTGACTTCCAAAAATTATAAAAAAAAATCAGATATGCAATTTAATATGTAATTGATCTACTATAAAAATTTCAGTTGAAAATCCATTTGTTTGATATGGTTTCATGATTTCTAAAGTTTGCTGGCAGATTAATATTCTTAAGAGCAACATTATGAATTCAATTAAAATTTCTAAAATACTATCACAAT